AGGAGGAGGAGGAGGAGGAGGAGGAGGAGGAGGAGGAGGAGGAGGAGGAGGAGGAGGAGAGCCCTTCAGCAGAAATCAAGGACAAACTCCAGTACATAGAAGAGTACTGGTAAAGTAACGCCCTTACATTAAAAGAAATTTACTGAGTGTGTGTACATTGTGTATGTGAGCATGTGCCTGTCACGGAGTCTGTGTGAAGGTCAGAGGACAACTTGGGGGAAGCAAGTCCCAGAGATTGAACTCTGGTCATCAAACTTTGTGGCAAGCGCCTTTTACTCACTGAGCTTTCTTTCAGACCCTGGGGATCTACTATGTCTGTAACCAATAACCGTGTCAGTGTTGAATAAATAATCACCATGGAACTGACAGAGGCGAAGGGAAGGAAATGTGCCAAACCAGGACCTTCCACATCCATCTTTGTGAAGTCCTCTCTCAGTGCCCTGAGGGAGCTCACTGTCTGTCCACTGTGTAAAGATCTTTTTTTTTTTCTGTGGGAGGACTGTATTTGCCAAAGAAAAGATCTGATCTTTGCTGATGGTGATGTTAAGAGCCACCCCCTCCTCTCTAAATCCAGCCTAAACTAGGTATGGTGGCATGTACCTGTATTTCCAGCTACCTGGGAGGTGGAGGCAGGAAGCTAACTTTAATCCATAAGTTTGAGGGTACCCTGGGAAATAGACCAAGATATCATCTCATTAAGAAGAGGGAGAAGAGAAGAAATCTAGCTTAAATCCAGAATAATGATCTCCCTCTGTCTCTTTCAACATAGGGTCTTATTATATAGCTCCAACTGGCCTTGAACTTGTGATTATCCTGACAACTGAGTGCTGGGATGATAGACATTTGCTACCACTCCTGGATGCGCTACTTACTTACGAAGAATGGCCTGGATCTAGAAAATATGGGGTTTACTTCTGGCTCTGCTGCCCTCTCTTCAGCTCAGTCACAGTTCTTCAGTGGCATGAAATACCAGCATCAGAGCAAGGAAAGCTCCATCCACCCCGAAGAGCCTAGGATCCTAATGTCAAGCTTGAGGCGACTTTTTACCTGTGTCCTTATGGAGGAGATGAGAAGCTGGAGGCCAGAGGTCGACCATCAGTGTCTTCCTTCCTTCCTTCCTTCCTCCCTCCCTTCCTTCCTTCCTTTTCTCCCTCCTCAATCCCTTTTCTTTCTTCTTTGTTTCTTTCTCTTTGTTTCTTTCTCTTTTCCTTCCTTCCTTTGTTCCTTCCTTTCTTTCTTAATTTCTTTTTTAAAGATTTATTTATTTATTTTATTTATGAGTACACTGTCGCTGTTTTCAGACACACCAGAATAGGGCATCCAATCTCGTTACGGATGGTTGTGAGCCACCATATGGTTGCTGGGATTTGAACTCAGGACCTCTGGAAGAGCAGTCAGTCAGCCCTCTCTTTCTTTCTTTCTTCCTTTCTTTCTAGGGTATCACTATGTAGCCCTGTCTAACCTGGAACTCACTATCTATACCAGACTGGCCTGAACTCACAGAGATCTGCCTGCCTAAGCTTCCCAAGGGCTGGGATTAAAGTAGTGTGCCACCACCGCCTGGCAAATATTTGGCAATTTAAAATGTATTATAATTAAATCCGTAGACATGTTGGTGAAAGGGGACAGGGCAATCAGAGCATAGAAGATCTCCTTAGGCAACTCATCGTACCTCCCGTTAGAATCACTGTCACTAAGCACACGCAGGGGGATTTCACAATACCACTGGGTGCACGGAGAGCGGGAGAACCAGAGAGTTCTGTTCTCCCCCCAGCAGGGCTAGGCATGGTTTTGATGCACCTTTTTCAGGCATGACTTTGCGGACACTGAACAGCTGTTTAATTAAGTTCCTCATGTCCTCCACTTTCACAGCAAACAATGGTCACTGTTAATACACATATCACTTGCTTTCTCATAGCCGTAACCAAATACTCAAATGAACAACTTAAGGAGAGATTTGTTTGAGTTACAGTTTTAGACACCCATCATGGTAGGACATTGTGAGAAGCATGCTGTTCAGCTAACAGCAGGCAAAAGTAAGGCAGAAGAGCAGGAAAGAGCCAAGCCAGGGTAAGATTAGCCTCCCAAGGCTACGCTTCAACCCACTGACCTGCCTCCTCCACCCAGGCTCCACCTTCTACAGCTCTCCCACCTTCCCATAGTCTCAGGGTTGTAGTGTACAATGAAACACTCCTGAGGCCAAAGCCTCTGATCTTAATACTCTCTGGAAACACCCTTAGAGACTCAGGAAGGTGTGTGTCACTAACTCCTAGGAACCTCTCAATTCAGTGATCAGTCAAGATTAACTGATTATATGTATGATGGCTACATATAATCTGCTCACGAAGAAGATGAGTTCTTTGAAGAAAAGATTCAGTTTATAATCTTGTTTTTCCCACTTACTATTAGACTGGGCATATACTAACTTTGATCTCCAACAAGCTACAGTTTTTGGTTTTTTTTGTTTTGTTTTTTTTTTTTTTTTGTTTTTGTTTTTTGGTTTTTTGAGACAGGGTTTCTCTGTGTAGCCCTGGCTGTCCTGGAAATCATTCTGTAGAGCAGGCTGGCCTCGAACTCAGAAATCTGCCTGCCTCTGCTTCCCAAGTGTGCTACAGTTTTGATCTCAGTTTTCCAAAGGCCTTTGTCCCTAACCCTTGACACCTCTGAGGTTGGGAAGAGGTGAAATCCTTAGGAGGTAGGACCTAGTAGGAAGAATTTAGTTCACTGGGGATGTGCCCTTAAAGATGGTATTGGGATCTAGGTCTTTCCCATATGAAGTGAACAAAACTCTGTCTCACAGGTCCAAAACTGAACCAAGTAATGATGACTAAGACAACTGAACTGTGGGCAGACAGACATAAATCTCTGCTCCTTACAAACTCATTACCCAAGATATTTTGGTCTTAACAATGAGGACCCAGGCAGCCTTTAATCCCAGCACTCGGGAGGCAGAGGCAGGTGGATTTCTGAGTTCGAGGCCAGCCTGGTCTACAGAGTGAGTTCCAGGACAACCAAGACTATACAGAGAAACCTTGTCTCAAAACAAAAACAAAACAACAACAACAAACCCAATGAGGAGTAACTCCTCTAACATACATGAATGAAATGTCTGATAGAAGTCAACTTCTGGACTATAGGGCAAAAATGCTCCATAGAGCCTTTCAGAAGAGCTTGGTTGGATGTTTTGAGGAGTACTCCACACGGTGGCAAGGCAGTGTAGAAAGAACTAACGTGGAATTTCCGGGGACAGCAGACCCTATGCTGAACTTGTTGATACCGTTTGCTAGATACTTAATATTTTAATGTCCCAAATGCTCCGGTTCCCTAAAACACCCAATCTCACCACGAAGCTTGACAATAAAGGAAAAGACCACAAGGTGCACGACTTTAGGCAGGTACGCAATGCTATTTCCTAGATTGGTATAAGAGAGAAAAGCTGTGTCTAGCTCAGAAATTAGGCATTTTTGGTGAAAGAAACTCCAAGTTACCTGGAGCTGGTCATCTTCTCAGGGAGGGGCAGATTCTTCGAACGATAGTTCTCTGACATGCCCATCTCCTCAGATTAACCTATTTCTGCACTAAAGTTCTGGAGTAGGTGCTCGCAGGTTCTGCGCATCTTCTCACTGCGTGTATTACAGTCTGCGCATCTTCTCACTGCGTGTATTACAGCTACCCAATGTCCCTCGCCAGACTTTATTCTCAGAAATCTGACTAGTTCCTAGGATGCAAAGGGGATTGCTGCACAGTGGAAATCTTAGTACCCCTCGAGTCTGTTAGGGGCCTCTCTCAGGAGCCCCTCATAGTCTCCTGATGCCCACTAACATCATCATTGGAAAAAGGCCAAGTCACTGGATCGAAGAAGGTCAACCACTCAGTTCTCAGACCCGCCCAGGCTAGAGCTTGGCCAAGCAAGAAAAGGGTGTCTTCGGAGCTGCGGTTTGCTCTGCTGCAGGGGCCTGGCCCTCCGTGAGGATGGCCTTGTTCACCGGGCGTGACTGGGGGTACCGCGGTTGCTAACACGTGGGATCTCAGCCGCAGGGTGCCTTCCCAGCCTCTGACCCTGGCTCCGAGTGGACATGCCCCCTCGTCTGGTCCTGGACGCCGCTGCCCGCCCCTGGGGCAGCCCAGCCCTGCTCACCTCTTGCGCAGGTAGAGCCCACATCTGGTAACGCAGGACTCTGGGGCATCATCGAGGGCTCGAACTACAAGTCCCAGCAGGCCGCGGGCAGGGAAGCGCTACTTCTGCGTTCACTTCCGGCGACGATGGGACACCGCTACCCCTTTAAGCCCCCAGTTTGCGGTTGTGGGTTTCCTTGGATGATTCGAGTTGTTCTCTCTTTTCGTTGCAGACACATACAGTTTCATAATACTTCCCAACGTGTCTTTTACTTGTTAAGATGATGCTGGAGGGTAAATAACCAGAATAAAACTGTCTTCAACCTTAAAAATATTCTGAAGCTGAAGTGAACAGTGTAGTGTATGTAACCACAGCATGCAATCTCATCACCGGGGAAGCTAAGGCAGGAGTTTTACGAGTTCGAGAAGCCCGTGTCAAAATTTAAAAAAGAAAGAGAAGAATCGATCACCGGATATTCCAAGTTCTTATCTCTGGAGTACAGTTTCCAGATAAGTATTGTGCAGGTCACCAACGCCTGCAATTCTAACTCCAGTAAACCCAACACCCTTTTCTTGTCTCAGGTGTCTGTGTTCAAGTGTACAACCCCCCCCCCCCCCGCCGCGCGAGCGCGCGCACACACACACAAACTTAAAAACAGAATTCTTTTATTTTTTGTTTTTATTTTTTTGGTTTTTCGAGACTGGGTTTCTCTGTGTAGCCCTGGCTGTCCTGGAACTCACTCTGTAGACCAGGCTGGCCTCGAACTCAGAAATCCGCCTGCCTCTTCCTCCCAAGTACTGGGATTAAAGGTGTGTGCCACCACTGCCCGGCCAGAATATTTTTAAAAATCAACAATAATGTATTTGGATATAAAGAACTAAAAGTGGATCATAATGTAACCGCCTGTTTTAAATAATTACAACAACATCATAAGGTTGATTTAAAAGATCAGTGAACTCCCAAATCAGAAAAGGAATTTTAAACATAAAACAGACCCCCAAAGAATGATGCCATTAAGTCTGAAAGAAAATGTCAAAAAACTTCTAAGGAATCGATAATATTATATGTAGTTAAGTTTCAGTTGCCAAAAGGATTTCAGAGTACTTTCTGAGTGTGTGCAATCGTCTCCCGAAAGGCTCTTTGGGTAAACCTGCGAACATCTACCCTGCAAAAGAAACTCCTGGGATGAAGGAGCAAACTTATCTATGTGTATAAGGATGAGTGTTAAGAATGCTGTTAGAGGCCGGGCGGTGGTGGCGCATGCCTTTAATCCTAGCACTTGGGGGGCAGAGGCAGGCAGATTTCTGAGTTCGAGGCCAGCCTGCTCTACAGAGTGAGTTCCAGGACAGCCAGGGCTACACAGAGAAACCCTGTATCGAAAAACCCAAAATAAAAATAAAAATAAAAATACTGTTTTGGGGAACATGATAATACTAAGTTACCTATGCTCCATGGACTTACCAGCCACAGATAGGTTTTAGTACCAGATATGTAGTCCGTTCTTTTGTTTGGGTCTTAAGTCCAATCAGATGGCTGTTGGCTACCCCTAAGATATAAGCGCCACTGCTGAACCTTTGGAGATATCTATTTAAAATGATTTATTATTCTCTTATTTTACATATATGAATGCTTTGCCTGCTTGTATATGTGTGTACTGTATGTTATGCCTGGTGCCTATGGAAGTCAGAAATGGGAGTTAGATCCCTGGAACTGGAATTACAGATTGTTTGCTTGCTTGGTTTTTCATGACAAGGTTTCTCTGTGTAGCCCTCATACCCTAAAATGTACCCTGCATGGGATGGCCTTGAACTCAGATATGGCTGCCTCTGCCTCTAGACTGCTGGAATTTGTGGAGGGTTCCTGCAAGCTTTACAGCAGGCAGGGAAACCATCCTTGAAAGAAAGAAATTTGGTTCAGCCTGATTTAGGTACCAGTCCTAGGCCAGGACTTTGAGAGTCTGACACCAGTTAATTTATTTTATCCATATTTAAGCACAGTACAGTTTTAGAAACAAGTTTTCTGATAATAAATAACTCAGTCTGGTGAGTATGACAAAGCTTAAGACATGTTTCATTGAAGCTTTTTACGAAGTACACATAGCTTTGTTCATATGGTGGGTTCTTGTTGGCTTAGAAACAATACTCAAGGGAGAATGACTGAGGTAAACATAATGCCTGCGAGAGTTGGGACTGCCCTGGCCCTAAGATAACACTTAGACCACTGTAAAGTACAAATTACATCTCTCACAAGGATGACCTTTATGACCTAGAAGTCATGCTCAAGGTTTTAGGGGGAAAGGGTCTGGGATAAGTAAAATGTAAATTCTGGGAGGTACGTTTCAGATAGCAGAGGATTGCCAGGTTGTAAACTATATCCATTCCTAGAATTCCAGGAAGAAGATAGGCTAAGCATCTCCTTCCTTTGAAGGATGCCTGTGTAAACTTTCCTGGCTTCTCCAGTACTCATCTGTGTGAGCAAAGGACTTTTTTGCCCTTTGTAGGTATTAAAGGTGTGCACTCCATAGGTGTTGGAAACTGAACTTTGGCTTTCGGCAAGAACAACAAAACCCCTGATCTGATTCCCCAGCTACATTTTTGGGGATATTTTTTGCTATGCTGGACATTGTGGTTTACAGGTATCACAGTTAGGTAGGATTAGCCTCAGTCGGCTGACCCTCCTACGATAACTGTTAAATCGAGAGATGCTCCATGGATTTGCCTGTGGAAAGAATTGTCTGAACTGAAGGTCCTTCCCAGATGGCCAGGGCTTGTGTCAATTTAACAACCACCACCGCCACCACCACTTAACTAGGTGAGCATGGTGGCAAATGCCTTTAGTTCTACAACTCAGAAAGCAGATGCAAGGGGATCTCTGTGAGTTCCAACGTAGCTTAAACTACATAGAGTATCAGGACCTCCAGGACTACAAAGAACTAATTTCAAAAATGACATCATGTAGAATATTCTGTATATATCTTTCATCCATTTGCTATATCATGCTATTTAATGCCATGACATTTCTGTTTTTGTGTGTTTTTTTGTTTTTGTCCAGATGACCTTTCTATTGGATAAAATGGGGTGTTGAAATCAAGTATTATTGCTGAGTTGGAGTTATTCTGGTCTTGAATTCCAGTAGTGTGCTTTTTATGAAACTGGGTGCCCTATAGTTTGGTGCGTATATATTTAGGATTGGAATGTCTTCTTGGTTAATTGTTCCCTTAATCAGGGGGAACAACCTTGCTTTTCTTTTTATAATTTATATTATTTATACTATTTATTTACTGTCTATATGAGTACACTGTAGCTGTCTTCAGGAACACCAGAAGAGGGCATCAGATCCCATTACAGATGGTTGTGAGCCACCATGTGGTTGCTGAGAATTGAACTCAGGACCTCTGGAAGAGCAGAAGAGTCAGTGCTCTTAACCTCTGAGCCATCTCTCAAGCCCCCTTGCCTTTCTTCTTTTTTTTCTAAAGACAGGGCTTCTCCGCATAATTATGGCTATCCAGGAACTAGCTCTGTAGATCAGGCTGGCCTCGAACTCACAGAGATCCACCTGCCTCTGCCTCCTGAGTACTGGGGTTAAAGTGCACTACTACTGCCCAGTTTGAAGTAACCTTCTATCGCTTCTGATGAATATTAATTTGAAGTCTGTTTTGTGAGATATTAGCATAGTAATGATGCTTGCTTCCTAGTTCCATTGGCTTGAGATATTTTTCCCATCATTTTACTCTAAGGTGGTACCTTTTCTTGATAGTAAGTTGAGACTCTTGTAGACAACAAAGGGATGGATTTTCTTTCTTTTTCTAAAAATTAATTAACTTTTGGGACAGATTTTTCTGGTATAGTCCTGACTGTTCTGGAACTCACTCTGTAGACCAGACTGGTCTTGAACTTAAAGATCTGCCTGCCTCCGCCTGTTGTGTGGTGGGATTAAAGGCAGGCCCTACCATCACAGTCTAGTTGGATTTTCTTTTCTTCCTTTCCTCCTTCCTTCCTTCCTTTCTTTCCAAGATTTATTTATTTATTTTATGCATATGCTCACACCACCATTGCTCTCTTCAGACACACCAGCAGAGGGCACCAAACCCCATTACAGATGGTTGTGAGACACCATGTGGTTGCTAGAAACTGAATTCAGGACCTTTGGAAGAGCAGTCGGTGCTCTTAACCACTGAGCCATCTCTCCAGCCCCTGGATTTTTTCTTTCTTTTCTTTCTTTTTCTTTTTCTTTTTTTTTTTTCAGACAGGGTTTCTGTGTAGCCCTGGCTGTCCTGGAACTTACTCTGTAGACCAGGCTGGCCTCGAACTCAGAAATCCACCTGCCTCTGCCTCCCAAGTGCTGGGATTAAAGGTGTGCGCCACCACCACCCGGCTGGATTTTGTTTCTTAATCCATTCAACCTATTGGTCTATTTTCTTCCTTTCTCACTGGAACTTACTTTGTAGACCAGGCTGACCTGGAA